GCTCCCCTCCCTTCTCTCCCTCAAATTCTCTTAGTTTCTCTTTCTAGTTGTCATTTGTTGTAATGAAATCTTTGTGCTGAAATTCTCCTTAAGTTTTTCTTAGTTCCACTTTACTTTTCATTGTTATGTAAATTCTTTTCTTTAATTTCAAGTTTGATTAGTTTCCAAGTTCAATTATGGTTTTTGTTCTTATTTATTATGCTTATAAGTTAATATGCTATTTTGAATGATTGATCACCATTTAGGCTTGCATGTGAGCTATCTTGGTTTGAATTAAGAGTAGACACCATACTTTAATTCGAATTGAACTATGAATAGGAAGAGTATGTATGGACATTCGACAACAGGGATTAAATACATACTTGGTTGTTTAAAATGTTCTTCTATGCTTAATGGATTCCTAATGCTTAGTTTAGGTTAGACAACAGATGATCAAATTAGGGAATTAGGAATACAAGGTTAGGACCAGACACCATGGCTTAATCATACTTTAGCTAGAATCAATCCGTTAATCTAATTGAACTTGGGAACTTATTTGCTTGAGTTATTTTCTCTTCTTTCTTTTTTTGTTTTATTTATTTTCTTTCTTGTTTTTCTGTTTTGTATAGGAAAACTGAATTGGATTATTCAATCACTAATCCCTATGGAATCGACCTCGCACTTACATATGTTATACTACCGAACGACTCGTGCACTTGCGAGTATCACAAGTTGAGGATGCAGCTAAATCCATTCTGGTGCAGCTGAATCGACGCAACAGCAGGTGATTAGTGTGGTACTGGAGCTGAAGAATTCTCCGGAGCAGGCACAAACTCTTCAATTCTCTCCTCATGAGTGTGATGGCTGGGATCGGACTGAAGCAAAACAATTTCAGAAAAAAATGGGGGGAGCAACCAGTCGTTAGGGTCAGGCAACCGGTCATTTTCGTCAGGCGACCGGTCGCTAGAGGTCTGCGACCGGTCGTTCTGAGTCTGGAACGAATCTAGAAAAACTGCTGAAGGAAAAAATTCGGAAATTTGAGAAGGGTCCTCCTGTGCATCTGAAAAATAGTTCTCTTGTTCCCGGAACACAACATCCATAGAAGTATAGACTTTCTGATTTGGAGGATGATAACACCGGTAACCTTTCTGATGAGATGCATAACCAATGAACACACACTTGTCGGCACGGGGATCTAATTTGCTGCGATGGTGATCATGTAAGTGGAAAAAGACCACACAACCAAATATGCGGGGTTCCAGGTTTTGGGTGGGAGGTATTTGGCTATGGTGTTGGAGTGTTTGAAGGGGGGTTCGGAATTGGAGGATACTAGAGGGAATCCGACCCCAAAAAGACCGAGGCATATTTGCACCAAAGAGGGATGCACGAACTACTTCCAGTAAGTGTCTATTCTTTCGTTCAGCCACACCATTCTGTTGAGGAGTGGAAGGGCATGAGCGTTGATGGATGATACCGTGATCTTGGAAGAACTCATTAAGATCATGGTTGAGAAATTCCCCGCCATTGTCAGACCGAAGAACCTGAATTGGGTATGAAATTGTGTCTCCACCATGTGATAAAACTGTTGAAACTTGGAACTGACTTCCCCTTTTATTTTGAGAAGGAATCAATGAACGTGACAAACCATCTAGCTCCCCCGGGAGTGGTAATTTTAGAATGGCCCCAAACATCAGAATGAACAAGGGAAAAATGAATTAAACTTTTATTGGAACTTAAGGGAAAGGGAACACGATGGCTCTTGGCCAGTTCACAAATGTCACACTTAAAACTAGAACTCTCTAAATTGGAAAATAAGGAAGGAAATAGCTTCTGTAAATATCCAAACGAAGCATGTCCAAGACGGCGATGCCATAACCATACTTCGGAAGTTTGCTTCTCAACACTCGTCCCCCCAATTTTGTAAGCTTGATTGAGGCTGGCTTCACTGTCAAATGCCAGGTCCAAATAATAGAGTTTGCCCCTCCTAGTACCACAACCAATCGTCTTGCTACTGAGAATGTCCTGAAAAACACAATGAGTAGGCCAAAAAGTTACAGTGCAATTCAAAGCCGTAGTAATTTGGGCAACAGACAAGAGATTATGATGTAAGGATGGAACAATCAACACAGAATCCAAAGTGAGGGAGTCAGAGAGAGAGAGGGAACCCTCCCCAATCACTGGGGAGGAGGTACCATTGGCATTAGACACCACCGATTGAGAAGGCGGTGTATGAGAGATAATTTGTCCCGGATCAAAGGTCATGTGATCAGTGGCTACGGTGTCAATGACCCATGTGTGTTTCTTTGAGGAACTATGCAAAACATAACATTGGGTACCTAATGTGGCTACAGAGGTAGAGGCAGGAGCCGGTGCAGGTGAAGCAGCAGGACTTACAGGATCCGTGACAGAAGATGTGTGGAGGGAGTTGCTCTTATTCCTGCGAGGAGCTTTGGAGTGATCCCACCAATCCGTGTACCCAATTAGTTCGTAACAGCGAGCACGAGTATGTTTGCTTCCACCACAATGAGTACATTTTGTCTCCGGACGAGAGCTTGTGGTCTGAGTCTGAGAAGTGCCACCGGTAGAGTGCGGAGGGCCCCTCGAATGTTGAGTGGCCAGAACCGCAGTGTCTGGAGTACTGGCCATGGTCAGTCGTTGTTGAGCTTCGCGATGTACATATGCAAAAGTTTGGTCAAGGTCTAATTTGGGATCATTGCGCAGGATCTCCCCCCGGACTTGATCAAACTGAGGATCGAGCCCAGCAAGGAAAAGGTGAACACGAAGACAATCCAGTTCAGTCTGGAGCTCAGCGATGTCGGCGTCACAGTGCATGCGATTCAGAGTGCGATGATCGGCAGAAACAGTGTTTTCAAATCTTTTTGAAAGTGTGAACCGTAATTATAGATTGTTTGCTATTGACCTCTTGGGATTTGGAAGAAGCCCAAAGCCAAGGGATTGTATGTATACATTGAAGGAACATTTGGAAATGATTGAGAAGTCAGTGATTTGTCCATTTCAGTTGGATTCTTTCCACTTGGTTGCACACTCCATGGGTTGTTTAATAGCAATTGCATTAGCTGCTAAGCACTCCAAATTAATAAAATCAATCACTCTTGTAGCACCTGTAAGTTCATGAGCTCATAGTACCTCCCCAAAGCATGAGACAGTCTCAAAAGACTCGTGGTCAATAGTTGGTCAAACTTCTCATTTTTGGTCAACCGGGGCCACGGGGCCCACGACCTCATATTTCTGATCCGCATGTTCCTACGTGTTCCACAAGGTTTACTAAACATGTCCTGCAAGTTTGGCCTAGATCGAGCGGTCGGATCGCTCTCGATCACACAATTGGACGGTCACTAGTTTACGTAATCTTTGAATAATTGATTCAGAGTATCCAGGACTCCGATTCTCTATCTGTAAGTTCCTACACGATCCTAGAGGTACCTAGATCAACATACTTGGAAATGAAACCGATCCAACGGTCTGAACATATCGAACTCGGATATCGCCTAATTTGCGTAAATCCGTTCGATCGTCAAACGATAACCGAATTTTAATTTGAGTATACCGTTGTGCTAGGGACGACATGGGGAATATTTAGAACCAAATGGACCACCCAACCTTGGCCCATGTGTTGCCACACGTGTCGCCAGCGCGTGGGTGTCTTGAGAAAATTCTGGCGACCAGAAAATTCTCAAAACACCCGGCAATACGTATACCTACGTGATAAGGACAACTAGGGGAGCAACTTTTGTTCTTGGGCCAAGGCCAAAAAGTGGTCGGAGTTTGCCGGAAAATCAAGCCAAAAACCAGTGAAAACTTAGATCGTAAATCAAGCATCAAAACTTCAAAATTGATCCTAACCAACCTAATCATCAGCTAGATCACGTTGAAAGGATAAGAAAGCATACTTGGATCTACAAATTTGGTGGCTTGAATTATCGGAAACGACGACGAAAAATTCGAGAGAAAATTGGACGGTTTTCGAGCTACCGTTGACACCGGGGCTGCGGGTTTTGCTGGAGAAGGGGTGGGTCGGAGAAAGGGGGCCGGGCTGGTTCTTTTGGGACTAGTCCCATCGCCGGAGGTGGTCGAACAAAGGTGCTGCCAGCCAAAACAGTGGTTGGCTGGGTGTTTTCGCCCGAGAGAGAGAGAGAGAGAGAGAGTGATGGGTTTTTAAAAATCTGACTTTGAAATATTTATAGTTGTGCCACTGCGTTTCCATTGATCGTAACTTCTTCGTTAAAACTTCGATTTGAGCCCACTATGTGTCTACAAACTCGTAACAACTCGCTCTATGCAACGGTGACATTCAATTCCCCAAAGTCCTACTGGATTAAAAAGTGACCAAACAATTAAATAAATTAAATGAATAGTTAAAATTGGGTCGGGGTGTCAGAAACAAGCCCAAAAACTTCAATTGGATTCATCATGACTAGAGTTCTTGAGTAATAAAACAAATCTCAAATTGAAAAAATAAATAAAAAAGTAGGAAGAAAATTCAAGAATCCAAGCCTTTAAAGAAAATCAAAACCTGATTGTTCAAAATTTCATAGCTTATTTTGAAGCACAAATCCACAACCTCATACATGGAAGAAAACAAATCCTCCATAAAATGAAAATTACATGGGTCTGATGCTTTGATGGAGAAAGGATCACAGTGGGTCTGATGCTGTGATGAAATTAAGAGAAAATATTAAAATATTAAAAATTATTGAAAGAGGAAAAAAAAAAATCGCCAAGATTCAGACCAAGGCGTTGAATTTTTCTCCCCTCAAAGACTCTGCAACACAGACATCCTCATTCCAGATTCAGTACCAAGTCGTTGAATGTCTCCTCGAATCAAGGCCTTTCACACCACCCTTGTCGAACTCGACTGAATCACCCCACTCTGTCTCCTCTCCGATGGTTCTTACATTGCGGCGTCGGCAGAGAGGAGACGCTCAGATTCCGACTTGGGACAAAGATGAGGATTGGATTTCAAAGAGAGAGAAAGATATCGCAAAGATGAAGCAACTCCAGTGCACGCGATGTCTTCATCGCGTTCATCAAAGCTTTTTCAGTTGTTTTCTCAATCACTTGTATTTCACGTGCTATTTAATAAGAAAGGGGTGAACAAGTCATTAGGTCATTCAATCTTAACCCTCGATTTTTAAAATGAAATATGAGCCCTTAGATGTCTGGGTGCACATGTACAATCGATGTACCATAGAATTTGAGATTTTCTATTTAAACCCCACACTTCTCTTAGTTCACCCCATATTCTAAGTTCACCCCATCTTTTAATTTAAATTTTCACAATTTCTAAGAAAACCCCACTATTTTTCCAAACTACCCTTAAACACACCCCAAACTAAAAAAAATAAGTGTTGAGGCCCAAAAAAAATCCACGGTTTGGCCCAAATAAATTCTCGGCCCAATACAATACCTTACCGAGGAGAAGCCCAATTAGGGCACGCGAAAGTTCGTCATACGCGCTTGCACACATGCCACGCCAAGCAAATAAGCAACACGTCGCGCTACAAGCTTAAGTGGGCCCAAGCCACTCAAATGCCCGGGGCTTGCTTGAGTGGGTTGAGGTATGGATGGTAACAAGTTATCATGGGGCCCGTCGATGGGTCGAGAAATGGAAGTCTCGGGTCGCTTGGGGGCCTCGGGACTCAAGCCCATTTCTTAGGCCCAAACGTGGGTAAGCACAAGAGAGAAAGTAGCCCATTGCCTCAACTAGAATAGCCCAACCAAAATAACCCATTACTTTAGCCCATAAAGCCCTAAATATTTGGTGGATTTAGCCCACTTATTAAATGACTTGGTTTTATATATTAAAAGGCCCAAACCATTTGAATAAGTGGAAGTCAGGACCCTCAACATTCGGTTGAAGCAGAAAACCTCGAAGAGGCCAAAGATTCACATGTGAGGGGCTACTGGGAGCAAGTTCCAAGCAAGAAATATTCAAGGAACCAAGGAGTATTAGCCTGCGAGCTGCCAGAAGCACCCTTTGGACCAGCATGTATATCCACTTCCTTTCCCTCATCAGATCTAGCCATGGAAGGGGAAATGAAAGAAGAAGAAAAATAGATGAAAGTGGGAGTCTCCCACTGAAGCTGCTGCAGGAAAAGGAGGCCTTGAGCCCTAATTTCGTGCAAATAGATAGAGGCAATTTCACTGAGATAGGAAAGTCAAGGGAGGAGAGGAGAAAGGAAGGAAAAGCTTGGCCAAATTGGAAAGAAACCATTAGGGTTTCTTGGGAAATGATAGTTTCCCGCAGCTATAAAATGGGGCCTCTCCTACCCAACAAAGACAACTCACAACCTTCAGAGAGCAAGCTTTCTCTCTTGCAAACCCAGCAAATTTTTGTGCTTTGCTAGCCCATTTCCCCCATCTCCCCTGCTTTGGCAGATTGCTACAGCTCTGATAGAGTCACTGTCAAGCTGCCGGAAGCTACGAAAATCACCCAAAACTCTCTTCCATTAGAACCTCTAACCTTCATAGGAACCCACAAACTTTCTCTTTCCCAAAGTGCTAAACCCATGGTAATTTTGCTCTCATGCCACATGCCCCTCATGCCAAGCCCAAAAGTTCATCTGTGAGTGTGAAGAAATTATCTGTAACTTGCTGTTGTTTTTGTTGGAGAAGATAATCAAAATACTTCCTAAGGCTTTGCTGCCCTTTCGAAGCATTTTGGGGCTTAATTTTCGAACTCAAACAAGGGGATAACTTCATCAGCCCAACCCACTTGCTGCAGGAAGAAAAAAGCCCCTACAATAAGAAATAACAGAGATTTTCTATTTAAACCCCACAATTTTCTTTGTTCCTAGAAGAAAAAAAAACACAAACAAATAGAACCCTAAACCAGAAATTTAATACTTTCTAGAGAAAGAGAACAACTTTACCCCTCTCCAAGAACTGTAACTGGAATTCCAATACTTGGGTATTGTTGAGTTGATAATCAACAAGCTTTTCCATCAACTTTCACACATATTTAAAGAGGTAGGCTCGTCACTTTTCTATGTCTTTAAAAGAGAAGAGTAATCTGGCAATAGGATGTAGAGAAGTTTGTATTTTTTTTAAAACTTGATATGAAGAGTGGTGGGGTGTGTGGGGTGTGGGGTGTGTGTATAGATGTACTAGGGTTAATTATTAAGTTGGATGACTTTTTTGTCTCTTTACACAATAATAAAATTGATAGTTTAATGATTTAAGTATTGGGGTAAACAAAGAGAAGTGCAGGGTTTAAATAGAAAATCTTTAGAATTTTCGTTAAAAAAATGCCATTTGAATGTTTAGTCAAGGTGGGGCCAAAAGCCGCCTAGTTCCCAAAAAGTAAAAGTCTCATTTGCTAAGTCGAAGTTGCTCGACATTTACCAAATTGCGAGTATTAACAATTATGGTCCTTTCGGGAACATCCGATATAAATGGAACAAGTATTCTAACCACAGCCATGTCTTTTTCATATCCCCAATCCCTGTGCACTGGTAGTTTCTCCAACCGTCCTCCTGATTTCTTCACATGTCTCCTCAAATTTTCTCGGAAAATTGGAGAAAGCCGACGACAATTCTCATCTCGGCCTTGAGTTTCGTTGTCTTCCTCATCCTTGACTTTCTTGACAACTTTCTCTGCATCCTGTATAGATATATTGATGAGCTCTTTGAAGGGCAGGCCTCCTCTTGTTTCTGTGCAAGCAAGGAACAGCAGGTGAGGAATGTGGGTGGTTATGGAGAAGGTGAGCTTTCAGAGACTTTATATCAGAGGAAAAATGCTTTCAGGGAAATGGGTTTTCTTGGATTTGCCAAAAAATCCAGGAAAACTGGTGGTGGAGCAGTTGTCAATAG